TTCATGATACCATTCAACCTTTTCTTTAATTTCATTATCTTTTTCATCAACATAAACCAAATTTGCCTTCTTATTTAACTCACTATCCACATATTCCTTATCCACCTTCTTCATTATGTCATTTAGGAAACCTTCTATGAATTCCTCATTTAAATTAAATCTTCCAATCTTCAAAACTTTAGGAAATGCATTTAATGCGTAATATCTCTGTTCTTCTGGTGGAATTGATGTTATATCATCCGTTATTCCTTTAATTTTTGAATTCATAAATAAAATTTCTTTTATATTTGATATCACTGCACCACCTTTGCAAACGAATTCGAAATGTTCATTTTTCAATACTATCTCCAAATCTCCATATTTCAACCTTTGCGTTTGTTCTGCCATCTTTGAATTATATGCATATATGGCGTATGTAATGGTCTGAAGGACCTGGGTGTTTTGCACCTTAAGTTGTTGTGGTTGCTGTTGTTTAATCATTTATTATGATTTAAAAATAAATATTTTAATCCGTTATCTCATCAGCTATTTTCTCTATTTGAAATTGCCATAATATTTCATTCATAAATTCTAAATCACAATCAAATAGGTCAGTTATTCTAAATTTAATATTTGATAAATCTTTTGAATGAAGAATAAATGAATTCCCGGATAATTGAAACGGATATGATAAAGAAAATGTGTTTAAGTTGATGGATAAAATGTTTTGTATTGATGGGTAAGAGTTAGGGTCTAATGTTTGATGTGAAAATCTCATTGGGGTATTAACTTTATCACATTTGATTAAAATGAAATTGGAACCAGTGTCAGAATACAAAACATCCCCAACATCTTTTTCAAAATTTAATATCCCCAACGATGAACGAAGATGAGGAGTACAAAATTTAATTTTCAGCGGAAATTTAATAAGGTTATTTATTTCATCAAGTTCAAAAAGTTTATCAGGTTTTGATTTAAAATTTTCTTCATACCATACGATAAATGATTCATTTAAATAACTTAAAATCATGTTAATATCCCATTTCGCTATCACATTATTTATATACATATCATACGTTTTTTCATGGTCATCTTTAATAAATGATATATAATCTGAAGGGTCTAAAGAATGGGATTAAATTTACCACTCACAGAAACGAGAGTAACATTATAAATTCCGCTAACTGTTAAATTTAATTCACAGTTATTATTCGAAATAATATTGATAATTGACATTTTTATTACGATTAAAAATATGGTAAAGCGTTATTTTCCAGTGATAAATAAAACTAGAATAAGATTACCTCAAGAATTCATAAATTCAACGAATAAGAAATTCATTCATGTTATAATTTTAGTGTTTTCAGAAAATATGAGTCAATGTCATATTCATCAACAGGTTATATTTCACTTCATTCAAATTTAGTTCAATCAAACCCATATAATGACCATTTCATAAGATTTTCAGATGGTATTAAAAATGTAATTGATAGATTAAAATATGAACAGATTGACAATATCGAATTTTTGGAATTTTGGTTTAAATATCCCGATGGAAAAAAGATTGAAGTTAAAGATAAAGCTGATACTATAACAAAAACAATTACAATGACCGATCCAGATAGTGGGGAACAAAAAGAAATAAAACAAACGATAGAAACTGGTGAAAGGTCAATTATTATTGATTATGATTCAAAGATTATTATTCGATAATGTTAATGCTTGAATATTAAATAGTCTTAACAAAGAATTTTTCAAGTGATATTTTATATTCATCAACTATTTTATTATAAATATCATTATATGTTAAATGAAGTTCAGTTGTTGTTCCGTTTTTGATATCTTAATTGTGCTAATATCCTTTATAGGATTTATTTTTGCAACTGTTCCGCAGCATGAAACCTCATCATCTATGAAAAATTGAATCTTAACGTCTGAATCTTGAACATCACAAAGAATGGCGATAATGTGAATTAATGATTCATAAGGTAAAATAATTAAACCGGATTGATCAATTAAATTTATTATTGAATCATAATTATTAATTATTATATCACGGTAAATTTTCATTAATTCAGAATTAATGTCTATTTTATATGGGTTCTCGATGTTTGATGAAAGAGGGGGGGTATGCTGGATAAGTGGGAATTTCAACAGGTTCTTTACCAGGTTCAGATAAAATGATTGGGTCTCCATCTTCTTTATTTTGCTCCTCCTCATTCTTCGGTAAGTCACGAGTTAATAAATTTGGTTGAGTTGCTGACCTTGTTAATTCGGGGCTAACATTAACTTTAACATTTTGAATAATTCGTGATTTATCATCATTTACGTTATAACCAACCGTAATCTCTGCTTTTGCGTTAGTGTTCTTTTGACTAGTGAAACGTCTTCTCATTTATAATCGAATAAAAAAAATATATTTAAACTTTTATTTTGCTGGAACTTTTGAATCTACTATTCCCTGTATTTGTTCATGAAGTTGATTTTTAGCATTTTCATCGAAATTAATAGACCGAATATATTCATTAATTGCATTCTTATAATCATTTGATTTCTCAAATTTTCTTTTATCTGATTCCTTAACTAAATCATAAGTTAAACCACGTTGCTGATATAATGGTTTCTTAATTAAATCTTTGAATGCTTGAGATAAAGCACCTGATGCAATTCTTGCTACTATAATTGGTTGGAATTGCTGTTTAAGTTCATCTTTAACATTTGCGAAAACTGGATCGAATAAAGCAACTTTAAAGAATTTCTTAGCTGAAATTTCAGGTCTAATATTTGCATATTGACCATCAAACGGGTTAGAATATCGTGGTAATCCATCCGGTCCCTCTTCAACAGCATTTAATTCTTCATTGAAATAAGAATATGGATTATGACGGTATGAATTAATTGGACCATTTTCACCTTCTCCAATGTATTGTTTAACAGCTTTTCCATTTTCATCAAATTGCATAGGATAACGTTCATTATATGCTTTACGTTTAGGATAATTACTTATAGTTAATTTATAACCATTTATGACTTTAATATTACCTTGACCATCAGTAACGAAAACTTCATTAATACCATCAGGTTTTCCATTTGACCCGTAATGTCTGCTTCGTGTGCTTCCAATTTGGACCATGACGTTTGGCATATGCTTGAGCTTCTGGTAATGTTAAAACGTTTTCTCATTTGTTTAACATCTTTTTGAAGACCAGCAACAATATGAACTAATTTTTCATTCCATCAGGAACTTTCATAGTTCTATTATATGCACCCTTTTTGTTTGTCCCTTGTTTTAATGGAACCTGTAGAAGATTTGCTATTTCTGTCATGTTTAATTATAAATAAAAAATAAAAATTAATTATAAAAAGTTAATCAAATTTAACACTTCCTTTATTTAAATCAACTATTATTTTTCCATGTTCACCTAATTGCTGATATTGTGTGTAAAGTTCATTAATGCTCATTGGTAAATTCACTTGATAAAGCATAACGTTCAACTGTTGACGACTAAACCCACTGAAAATGAAAAGGGTTGATAGATTTGATTTAATGTTTGTGCTTAATGCTTTGAAATATTGAACAGCCATAAAGAATGAACACTGAATGTGTCGACATTGAGTTAATAACTGATTAAAATATGATTTCTCATTTGTTATTAGTTTTGATTTCACTGCATCATCTAGAAAAATGAGTGAATGCAAAAATTCTCTATCAAAATTTGAAATAGAAAGTGTTTCAAATAATTCATCCCGTTGTTTATCAATAATTTTATCCTCTAATCCTTGCTTCTTGATTGTATTATATAATTCTTTATACATTAAAAAGTTTTTTAAATAATCTTCTGCTTCTTCTTGTGATAAATAAATAATTGGAATTTTGATTAAATGCTTTAAAGATTCAAATGTATCATCTGAAGGTGAACCTGAACGGTTGATATAAATTAACACATGTGAATAGGGGGAAGTGTTAGCAATAATGATAATTTGTTTTAATATCGTTAATGTTTTACCTTTATTTTGTTTACCAATTGCTGCAGTGATTGAATTTAAGTAACATTCAGAATATGGAATTTTCATTAATTTTTCCTTAGATAGAGCATTTCTATTATCACTCAATGCTTCATTAATCATATCATCTACGTATGTATTATATACTCCTGCTAATTCTTCATAAGGGGTGGATGAATTTAAATCCATTTAATCAAAAATAAATTTATAATTTTAAACATTTCTATTCATCAATATTTCATCATATGAACTTCTATACTGTGGTGGTGTACCTGTTGGATGATATTTCAAACCTTCATCCGGTGTCCATGTCCAATATGTTGTCCTAGTAAACCAAACCTGAGGAGGATTTGTCACCTTTGAACAGTAAGTGTCATTTTCACCCTGAATGATTGGATAAGCTTTCACTTGTACTGTAACTTGTGAGTTGAAAGTTTCTAATCCATCAAAGAATATACCCGCTCCATCACGTTGAACTGGAATAGTGCATAAGAATGAAGTTTGGTCTTTCCATGTTCTAGCTAATGGCGTGCCATCATCTGCATTCAGTGGTCTAGTTAATGAGTCCTCGTATTCTTCTGTGCATTCATTCACTCCATCTAAATCAGAAGCTTGAAGCATACGTGTAAAGAATATGTCGCCCACTGTGGTCATCGCTTGATCGGGGAAGTTTCTGGAATCTATAGTGACCTGAAGACCTCGAAGCATTGGATTTTCTAAAACTGTTCTTTGCATTGCATTCTTCGGAAATGTTAACACAACATCTGTAACATTATGAAGAGCGTATGAGAAATCTGAGCTGATACCTTCAGGAGTGATGCAACCTCCATTTAGTGAACGAACGTCAATATGTTGAGCTGGAATCATGAATGGATCTTCCTTACTGAATAAACGTGGTATTGCTTTAACTGATTCTTCAATTAAACCGTATCCTGGTGTAATGCATTTATCCTCTAAAACTTCCATCTTTGTGCATGAAATAATAACGTTATCAACTGTTGCGTCAGCAGATGTAGCGGCTAAGCTTGTAATTAATTTGGCAGGAAGTCCGATTTGTTGGAATTTGCGATCATATTTATAAACATGATTCATAATCTTTTCATAATTTTCATCAGTTATCTTTTCATAAACGTAATTTTGTAAATCAGCAACTCTTAACGGGTCAACCTGACAAAATACTAAAGTATCCCTGAAAACATAATATTTAAGAATGATATCACCAAATGATTTAGGATAATCATCGAACGCCTGAAATGCTAACAAATCATTTACCGGAATAATCATATCAAAAGTGATATCAACTTCTTCATTTGCGTTCTTGAAAACTTCTGAAGGGTCAATATATTTACCACATACTGAGTTATCATATTTTTGAACATTATTATATAACGAATGAACAAACTTTTTAACTTTCCTTTCTGATTTTGGTTTATATGTTGCAAATGCGAAAGATTCACGGGCGCAATCCATCTGAAGATAACCGGCATCACCTCTTTCGGTTTCTACTTCTAATTGTTTAAAGCTTTGATTTGATGATTTGTAACCAACGAATAAACGCATGCATTTAAAAGCGGCATCACATGTGAAAGCTTTATTTGAAACTAGAGTTGCTTTAACTTTGCGTTTAATATATGTGTCACCTAATTGGTTCACATCATGAGCCGGATTTGTAATTCTTAAATGAGTTTGTTTATCATCAAAATATGGAGCATCAGAGTCATAGCATGAACTTTCAAGTTCTCTATAATATCTTCTACCGTCATTCTTTGCGAATATTTCATTTATCTTTTCGAATGAATGAAACACATTTCCATTAATCGGTTTAGTGTTTGGCACTAAATAGTTAGTCGTCATTTATTAATAAATAAAAAATCAAAATTAAAAGATGAAAATGAATTTTTAATTTTAATGAAATAATCAACTATGGCTGCAGGTATATTTAAGAAACTGTGGGATAAAGTAAAAAGAGGAGCGAGTAAAGTTTGGGAAACATTGAAGAAGGGAGCAAATTGGATATTTAAGAATAAAGAAGCAATTAGTGACGTTGCTGAATCAATAACACCAAAAGCTGCCCAATAAGAGAAATATTAAATAAAGGAGAAAAAGTTTATCAAAGACTACAACCGATACTAAGATAAAAATAATTTATTTTTCCACTATCTACCTCCTATTTTATTAAGTATTCCTTCAGCTATTCCACCAATTGCGTTACCTGCTTGTGCTCCCATCGCCGGATTACCTGCTTTAGTACCTAATACTCCAGTTAGTATACAAGTCTTGGGTACGGCGGCACTGCGTTCCACCTTACCCAACACTAACTTAACCTTAAATATTTACAAAGCCGCCAACCACTTCACTAACGAACTCACTAATGTAAAAAATAAACGTTCTCACTATCGTTCTCACTAACGACTTCACTAATGTTCTCATAAATTTTCCTCAATATCTTCATCATCAGTGTTAACCCTATTGTAGTCATACTTGAAGCCATAAACTTTCTCTAACTTTTTAAACGTACAATTTACATAACTTACCTTCGTCATCGTATGGTTTAATGATATAACTATTTCTATTATACACAGTCAATGAAAATCAACTGGTCTCGATGTATTTGAAAAAAGAACATGTTATGCTCAGGAAGGAAGAATAAATGTTTAAATGTATGTTTGTATACTGTGGAATTCAAATGAGTTGCTTTGTTCTGTCATTTACATCCAAATAAAAATTTTCAGTAAAAATAAAAATAAACTTAAAAATAAAATAAAAAATAAACTTAAAATTAATGATATCACCACCCTCACACGTATGAAAACATAGCACAAAAATAAATTTAGGTGAATGGTGAGATCTCACCTCTTTTTTCAACCTGTTTTTCACCCTGTTGAATCATTGCTTTATAACTCTCTTCCTTGATTCTTTTTAGTTGCTTCTTAACATCTGTCTCCAACTTGACTGTCTTTCTTCTTCGCCGTAATGATACCAGTTACTTCCACCAGTCAATGGGTCAAATGGTCGTTCATAAGGGTTTCCATACATTCCATAGGGACCATACGGAAGAACTACTAGTGGAGAAGAAACATTTTCTTTAGTTCCATTGACTCTATTTTAAATGCATTGTTTCACCTTTCATCTGGTCATTAAAGTCTTTTGCGTGTTTTGCAAACTCATCGTCCTTTCCTAAAGCATTTTCTGACTCATCGCAACCAAATTGGATGCTTTATTTATGAGCCCTATTTTATTTAATCTTAACTTCTTTGCAACCCAGCCTCCAATCTTTCCTTTATTTGCATCTATATGTCTTCGAAACCCTTCCTCCACTCATTTTATTTACTGCGTCATAAGCTCCAAGTGCTTTTGCTCCAAATGCTAATGCTTTTGTTCCCATTGCGCCTAAAAGCTGCCCAAGCTACCATTTACCCCATATTAAAATCATCTCTCTTCAATATTATCTCATAAAAGTTCTCGTTACTGGAGAAAGTCAATGAAACATAAACATTCTCACGGCTTCGCCCTCACGCTTTGCGGTCTATCTAACTTATTTCTTATATCATCTATACGCTTCAAAATGTCTGAACAATGCTAACATCTTCTACAACAGTTATTCATCATGAATGACCTTCAAGAACAAGCTCATTTAATATGCAATTAAAATCAATAATGAGGTCCATCCTTTCCATCTTTTGGTAGCACAACATCTTTTCATTGAAGAAGGTTCGACAAGTCTTATGTTAAACTTACTGACAAAGTTTGTTATACTATAATGCTTCGCGGCGAATACATATAGTTTGAAAGACATAATATAGATTCTTCAGCAAATTCACTTATACTGGATTTTATAACAATGTTCTCACGAGACCAAAATACCACCAATTGACAATCTTGTAAGCAATCCTGCTGAACCTTCTACTGTAAACGTCGATGGTAACATTCCACGAAGGTCATCTATTGACATCTTTGAGTCACTGAATTTAAATATTTTTCTTAAAGCAATCGTCATTATCTAACCATGTAATAGCTTTGAAGTTTTCATTCGAATATACATCTGCTTCATTAAATGTAAAACCTGACTTCTTGCAGAGGCGATTTTAAAAATCTATTGCATTTGTTTCAAAATTATATGCTATGGTAACTTCTGAAGGTAATGGATGCCCTTCCGCAGTCAGTTGTTCTCTCACTACCATTTAAGCTTTGTGTTAAAAACTTCATGTCATCTCCTGTATCTAAGTTCACATACACAGCAACAGGGAAACTATTCTTCTTTGTTTCATCATTATATCTCAAAACATTAAAGTTCTTCAATAATATTGTCCTTCCTGCTGAATACTTCTAACTTGTCTTATTTCAATAGCTTTCTCACCTCCTACATACTCTACCCAGTGCTTGGATATTCATAAGTATACTGACTTTCTTGAATTTTGTTGGTTTCATCATAACGTGTTCATAGTATATTTTATACTCTTGTCAGTTAGACTCGGTGCTATGTTCTGAATATTTTCTGACTTGCATTTTTAATGGAGATAAAATGAAGCATTTAATACATGATGTAGATGAAGACATGAATGAAACTACAGACAAACTTAACTCTTCTCTTATTCTTCCTTTCAGCAAAGATTATGAATTCTGTTCAAATGGTGTGTATTTCTATTGTGGAAGATGGGTTCAGAGAAGACATTCAACCTCATTCGTCATATACTCATAACAGAAACGTTTAGGAAACGACTCTTACTATGACCAAAATCATTATATCAGCAACTTCAGACTCTATGGACTCAACAGCGAAAACATTTATGTCAAAAGTTCAAGCCTCTGTCGTTAAAGTTCCAGACAGTGAACTCATTGAATTTCTTCAACGTTACATTCGACGTAAGAGGAAATATTATGCCATCGTTGAATTTATACAGTCAGGAATGCAAAAGACTTCTGAGGAGATGGAAAGAATTATTGACAAACACCACTTACGTCATACTCAGGAGTTTACGATATGAAACGACTTACAAACTACATTCTGTCAAAACTTTCAAAATACCCCTTCAAAAATATCCTTCAAACACTCTGCTCGTTTGTGACGACTTCGCCGGAAAAGGTTTAGTGTCAAAACCAGACTCACCATTAGCTAACATCATAACTAAAGTCAGACATTACCATTTAACTGTAGCAATACTTATGCAAACATGGCGTTTTTGCTTTAAACATAAAACGTCTCATAACTGACTTCGTTATCTTTCAAGGTTTCTCACGCTATGATATTGAACTCATTTGGAAACAGTCAGGTATAACATTACCTTTTGAAGAAATTTGGGAAGCATATAAGTCTCTCATCTCTCCTCGTTCATACCTTGAGATTCATATCATGACTAATACCATTAAAGTCAAAAATATTCCATGGGAACGACCAACATTGTTTTAAAGTTTAACCTTCAATTGACTGATGGTAAACAAATTCCATGCATCTCTGTCGCCATTTCTGTTAATATTTTTGCTGTCATTCATATCATCCACTTCCCCATCCGTTAGCTTTTGAGGATATGCGTTAGAATAGCTGTTCTTAAATGAAGGCTTTTCACCTTTGAGAGCATAAACTCTATAACTTTCTGCATACTTTATGTTTGAACCTCCTGAGCCATCATTGACATAAATTTTTATAGGCTTCCACCCTTTGTTCATGTTCCTGCTTCTTCCCTTAGCTCTTTTGTTCAGTAGTTCTACATCTTTATACACAGCTCCTGTCTCAGTGAATTCAACAATATTTTCATTCGTTAGCTTTACATTCAAACCCTTGTCGAGTATATTGTTCATTTCATACATATAAAAGGTTTTTATTCTATATGAAATGAGAAGCAAATCCATCTTAGCTGGTGCCGTTAATGTTCCAATTGAACCAACATCAAATGTTGACTCACGAACGACAAACAATATTGTCATAAAGAACTATAGTTCAGAGTGTTTGAAAGAAAAAGAACCAGACTTAAGTCGTGAATTTAAACACAGCTTCAAACGCTAACGCTACATCAGATGTTAAGTTAGAGTATCCACCACTGGACCAAATTCTTTCAAGAGAAGCCAACGACAACCCTTACACAAATGTTCAAACAAATCCTTCAGATAACGTAGACCATTACCTTCTTCAGTTATACCAAACAATTTTACTCAAAGACGATAAGAAGCTTTTGAAATCTTATAAGTAAGAACCAAATAATTCTAACAAAGGAGGACCTTGAAAATGTTATATCACGAATAACAGGAAAGCAATGTGTCATTGACTATCTCGACCCTGAAATCGAATGCTGTGGTCAAACAATATTCATGAAAATAGGTAACATCCGCATCATTGAAACACCAGGAACTACAGGAGTTGAGTTTAAGTATAAATATTCGAACGAGTATACAAAACTTTCAACAGAATATAAGCTTTGTTTGAAATATGTTTTAGTAAATTAAAGCAACTTTGTATCTATCCAAAACTTCTTCAACAGTATCGAACTCATCTTCATAATGCAAACCTAATCTTATTGACTTGGTGCAGTTTTCACTAACACAATATTTTTCTGTTCTCTTGACTGACATAACTAACTCATTTGTTTCATCAAACAGCAACAACCAAAGTTCATGACCTAATACATAACATTCATACTTTATATTTTTAGCTCTGAGTTCTCTTGTAAGCTGTTGCATTTAATATTTTCTAAAAAGTCAACTTCAACAGTCATTCGCACTGGTGCCTTCAGTTCTACAGGCTCTCCTTGAAAGTCAACAAGTCTGAATTGCATGTCTTTCAAATTATGAGGACTAATGCGAACCCATTTACCTAAATGAGTTGCTATGACAGGAACGTTTGGAATGAACATTGAATTGACTCATAACAGAAGGATTTATATTCTACTGAACCTTTACTATTAACTCCTGAAATACCTGTGACATTAGCTATTTTTGACTCAATGTACAAACAATTACCATAACATACGTATGGAACAGATTTCATCTCAATCGTTTTGTCAACACTTTTCAAAGGAAATGTCATATGGTATGCTCCCAAAAGAAGTTGTACTCTATGACTCATTCTTGGTATCTTAAACTCCTTCGCATAACTGAACTTCAAAACTCCTGCAATAAGTTTAACATTCATTAAGTTTTCTTCGTTATCCTTGTTTATTGTAGTATTTATGAGAGCATTTAACACTCCAGCTAATGTTTCCATCTTATATTCTACATTATTGTGAAATCTTATTTCGTGCTTCTTTCCATCTATTTCAAGCTCCATGAAATCTGTTTCATCTGTTATAACGAATGAAGCGATAGTATTGAAGTCAACCATTCTGAATGCAAGCGCTCATTCTGTAGACCTAAGTTTGTTTGTAGCTTTACTGTCCCGTATTCGTTTGGGTCTGTACTTTGCAAATAGAACAACATTTTATTCTCATTAAAATATGAGTATAGCTGCATATGCGTATGAAGCTGACAGAGCTAAACGTTTATATTTTGGTCAATACTCTCTCACACTTACTGACAAATATATTGTTATCAGTGATGGAAATACCGAGAAATACATAACATGGAAGGACTATGAAAAGTTTGACCCTATTTTAACTCCATGTACTATGCCATTCATTGTAAATGGTGAAGTTGTCATGAAGAACGACACAACAGTATATAAGTCTGTTCATGAAGCGTTAGAATATATGTTGAATTATAATCCCGAAAGATTTGACCCAAGCACTACACCATGTGCAATGCCTTTTATTAAGGACGGTGAAATCGTAAGAGTTCCGGATTCAACGGTTTACACAGCTGTTCAAAACAGTTTACAAAACATTTTAGCGAATATCTTTAATTCAGAAACTACAGAAATAAAATTACCATATATAACAGATGCTAAAGAAATTAAATCAAAAACGACAACATTATTTACGTCACTTAATGATTTAATGACTTATATCATTAATATCCTTCTGCACCAACTACAGCATTTGATCCAAACTCGACGGTTTGCAGTGTACCTTTCATAAATGACAGTTCATTAATTACTTTAAGGGATTCGACAGTAAATGAATCATTAAAGGCGTCATTAATGAAAATCATTGATTTTAATTCATTCACGAATACATATAATTCATTCATTAATGTTTCATATGCTTCTAAAGAAGGTGAGCCAAAAACTATCGATAAAGCGGTGTATGAAATAAAAGCATCAACGACGAAATTGAATTCGTTAACTTTTGACGGTGATAGTTTCGTTAATGACATAACATCGGGGAAAACAATTTTAACGAAAGAATACTTAAAATCTCATGTTAGTGAGTTCGTTGAAATTGAAAAAGAAGGTGGAATTAAGTTCGATCCACTGAATTTCATTTTCAGCTTAGCGAATGCGGGTGTTATTTTCGCTGAATGGACAACTATACAGAGTGAAATAAATGCAATATGGACGTTTTTGGGGTCAAAAGCGGGAATGGGTGAGCTTGTAAATGCTGCAAGAACATTAGGTGAAACAGGAAATTTTGTAGATGGTTTTAAAAGACTTGTTTCAAATGTTTTAACAAACACAAAGAAATTATTTAGATATACCGTACATAACGGACGGATTTTCGAACAGATAGCAACAAACCCTCCGGTTATGGCTGCGTTGATGATGGTTAGAGATATAAAACCACGTAACGACGGGAACGAAGAACATGAACAACAGGATACTGGTCGGGTTATTCGAGACATTAAAAACGTGTATCCTGAAGTTATTGATTTATTTAGAGGAGTTAATGATTCAATTTCAAAACATTCTATAACCCTCGATGAAGAGAATAAATTAACAGATTATATATTCGTCATTATTGCAGAATTAATGAAGAGAATAAATGAAAAAGGAATTGGTGATATCATTAATGTCAGCGATGTAATGATGAAAAGAAATTTTGACTCATTATTTACAAAACCGAAAACAGAATATAGTCTTTATGACGTAATTACCGAATTAATGAAAAAGATTAATGATAATAAGAGTTCTGGCGGAAGAGTTGAATTAGAAGTGAATGATGTTAATGAGAAATTAGCCGAAAAAGCAGACAAAAATGAGCTTTTAGCTCTGAGTGATAAAGTCAAGAACCACGTTCATTATATAACTTCAGACGAACAGATTATAACGGACTACCATGGATATTTAACACGAAGTGATGAAGTGAAGACGGAAGACCCCAATGAAAGAAGATATAAATACATTCGTGCTAAAGGTTATGACATAAGCTGTACTGTACAGTATGACACGGGTAAAGCACCAGAAGCATTTAGTTATAACGATGAAATTTATGCCTCTACTTTCTCTGTTAAAGGTGTATTAGTTGAACCAAGATTTACTTTGAGAGTTAAGTCAAAAATAACGTTTGAAGATGCTATTAAAAGTAAAGCTGACAAAGTTGAACTCGAAGCAATGAACAAAGTTTTGAAATCTCATAAACACAACATCTCCGATATAAATGAACTTCAAGCTACATTAGACAGTAAAGCCGACAAGAACCATACACATAAATCCTTCACTACTGTTAGAGCAGACGACATAATATTGAACTTTGACCTTGGTTCAAGTGCACCTTTAGAGAATCCAAGCACTAGTGTAAAAGATACACTAAACTCCTTAAATAGTAAATGTATGAATATCGAAGATCATGCCAGAAACTTTGAAGCACATGAACTACCAGCAATGTTAGATAAGAAAGCAGACAAAAACCATACACATAACTCCTTCTCAACTGTTGCTATAGAAAGTATTGAAGGAACGGTTGGCGGAACTGGTGGGGAGGGCGGAGCCCCGCCGCACGCGGCTGCTTTATATTATAAACCTCCTAACTTTCCACAAGGTTTAACATCGAATGAAAACATAACAACGAAGAAAGAAATTAGCTGTAAAAATGTTTATGTCATGGACGATGAAAATAATGTTAAATTCACTGCTCAAGATTTATATGATAATAAAGCTGACAAGAACCATACACATAAATCCTTCACTACTGTTAGAGCAGACGACATAATATTGAACTTGACCTTGGTTCAAGTGCACCTTTAGAGAATCCAAGCACTAGTGTAAAAGACACGCTTAAATTTAGATAACAGTTGCAGGAATATCGAAGATCATGCCAGAAACTTTGAAGCATATGAACTACCAACAATGTTAGATAAGAAAGCAGACAAAACAGAGCTTCAAACATTAAAGACAGAAATACTTCAAACATTATATCCTGTTGGTTCTATTTATACGTCAATGAACTCAACAAATCCAGCAAGTGTTTTAGGTTTTGGTACGTGGAAGCAGATTGTAGATAAATTCTTATACTGTGCTAGATATTCAAAGCAAACAGGAGGTTCGAAGAAAATTAAAGAAGCAAACCTTCCACCACACACTCATACAGGAACTACAAACATAACAGGTAATCATTCACATTCAATAACAAAAAGAGGTTATACAAATCTTGCAGCAGGTTCGGATAGACAGGGAATGAATAGATATGATATTTCAAGTGACCCAGTAGATTCAAGCACAGGTATTTTCTGTGGAACCACAGGAAATCATTCACACACTTTCACAACAAATCCAACAGGCTCGGGTGAAGATTATATGCCACCATTTGTGACTGTATTCGCATGGTACCGTGTTCAATGAAATCTTTAACTTTACATAAATGAGCTTGAAAGAAGTATTCGAACAACATCCATGGAGGTCATTTAAGAAGTTCAATGAAGCAGCAAAAAGTTGGGGATTTACTAACAGAGCTGAAGTGAAAAAGTTCTTTGACAAAAATGTTGTACATCAAACAAAAATAAACCCTTACGACTACTTTTTACCAATTTACTCCAACACTCCTGACGCATACCAATTTGACACTCTCATTCAAAGCAGAAAAGGAGGACATAAACCATTCCTCATCTTCATTAATGTTAACACTCGCAAAGCTTTTGCGTATATAATGAGGAATAAAGGAACTCGTGAAGTGTTAAGAGTTTTACAAAAGTTTGTAGCAGAACAACCCAAGTACTTTAACATCAGACCAAGACAGTGCATACCTCAGCAACGAAATCACAGAATTTCTCATTAAGCATAACATAACTCACTACACTACTGAAGACCATAACCATAACATACTCGGCATCATAAACCGCTTCATAAGGACTCTCAGAGATTTAAATCAAGAGCGAGACTTTACCGAAGAAACAATGAAACATTTTCTCGAAGTATATAATTCCTCAACAAATTCTACAACAGGACATACACCAAATTCAATGACACAACAACAAGAAGAAAAGTATATACAAAAGAAACGAAGCCAAACACAAAATATCAGAAATTCAACACAATTTACCCTCATTCCTGGTACAAAAGTTCGTGTAGTTCTTGACGACAAACCATTGACAAAGAAACGTTTAAGGTTAAGTCGAAATTATTATATAGTAGATTCAACGCAAGGTAATGGATATCTTATAAAAGCTGCTGACGACTCTATTGCGTTTTATCCTCGTCATAAATTAGTCGAAAGTAGTAATGGCAAACTTGCTGAAACCATTGACGAAGCAAAGCGAGGAGTGGTTATTGAAATACTTGGCTATAACACAAACGATGACACTTATAAAGTAAGATATGAAGGAGGCGTTGAAGATGTTATACCATCTAAGAACTTGAGAGAGTCGAAGCCAACACATCTGGGACCATTAGAGCGGGAGTATTGGAAAGATAAAAACATGCCAGAAAGAATAAGAAAATTCTTCTAAACTTTTTCATTAGATGTAAATCAGACATGAACGAGAACAGTCATGATATCATTAAAGGTACCATTTATTTTAACATAAATGAACAAAAAATAATGTTTATGTTAGCATGTTAGATCTAACACGTTTTCTAACCACTTTTCTAACATGGTCTAAAACTCTCGAAAATCATGAATTTTTGACATTTCCTTATGAAAGAAAAATAACGCTAATTTTTTTCTAAGAAAAATTTTTATCTTGTATGTAAAGATATGATTTCAACAATAGGTTCTACAACACTTCAAACAAACAACTTCACCAAACTCTTTAGTTATGAATCCAACATCTATGTTAGTAGAGATGAAAAGCTTCATTCCTTCTTCATATACTTTTGAGACAGAAATACAAAGAATTAAGCAAGAACTTTTAACAAGTAATTTAGACTGTAGTGCGAAAGATGAAACAAATGAACAGTATCTTTATGACATGCAGGATATTATTGACCATTTACCCAAATTGCCTGAAATCCAACAACAAAAGCTCACTATTCATGAATTCGATGAAATAGAAGTGAAACCAACTGACTCAGTAGAAATAAAGAAGTTCATACGTAAAGTAAACTATGAGTTTCTAGGATATCATTGCAACCATAAAGTTATGGACAAAGATTGCGACATGGTATATAAGAACATCTCTGACATATATAAATCTGGGGAGTTTAAGACATACGACAACTTTGTTTCATTAGTTGCTGAATATGTATGGCAGATAAGAGATAAAGATAAAAGATGTAAAATATGGAATGGACAAATAAAACCAACAACTTTTGAGTTAAAGAAAACCATTGACGCCTTAGTTGTTCTAGCAGGTCAAATTTCAATGTATAACGCAAAAATGAATCCGCAATGTTCAAAATGTAAAGCAGCAATGAGGAAATATAACTACTCCGTCAAAGAGATAGAACGTATGAGAAACGACTATGCTGACTTAAAGAAAGAAGTAGAGAAACCAGCAGAAGATAAAATGGACATGTTAGCATTTCTGAACAAAAACTATCCAACAGCTGACGATTTCCTATTATCTGATGTCAAGAAGAAATATAAAGAAACCTTCGGCATAGTTAAAATTTTTGATATCCTTCGTGAAGAAATAGAAGCTACAAAACTGTTTAAAGTCATGAACCATCGCAACATATACCATGTAAAACGCTTGTAAATAGTTATGTTAGAAAAGTGGTTAGAAAACGTGTTAGATCTAACATGCTAACATAAACATTATTTTTTCTATCTTAAGGAAATTCACGAAAATTCATGAGTTTTGACATTTCCTTATGACAGAAAAATAACGCTAATTTTTTTCTAAGAAAAATTTTTATCTTGTATGTAAAGACAGTAATGTCAAACATTGAGTTTGAAACAGTTAGAAAGATTGACAATGACACCAAAGTGGTTAGAATAGGTGATTTAAACGTAAGATACTCAAAGAAATACAACAAATATTCTTTGTCAGACATTATATCTCCATCTGGAAAGAAAACAAACGACTGGGTTAGAAATGCTTCAACTCAGAAAATTTTGACAAGAAATCCTGAGCTTATGATATCAGTAGCATTTCATGGAACAAGAGCATATCTTATAGACAAAAGTCTTATACCAATAGTTTTGTTATGGTTAGACCCAGTTGTTGGATATAACTTCATAACATATGGTTCATTCGACTCAGAACGTTGCAGTGAAGGCTTACTTTATATCGTTCAGAAACCGAAGGACTTCAACACAAAAAGATATAAGATAGGAAGGACATATAATATAACTCAAAGATATGACAGTACAGTCAATAGAGTCAAGGTTGTGTTTGTTAATGATATGAGAGCTGCTGAAACAGAACTGCTTGAAGTTTTTGAGAAAATGTATGGTGCTCCCATGAAAGGTAAAGAAACGTTTGAAGTAGATGAGATAGATAAAGCTATAAAATTATTTGACGAAGTTGCTGAAAAATACATGTAAAGCGTTTATTTTTACCATTTCTTTAACACAGAAAAATAACGTTAGAATTTTTTTTATTTATTTTTTTATCTTGTATGTAAGAACAGTAATGTCAACAACAGAGAACACAACAACTGCTATCGTTCATGAAGCTATAAATGAAGAATACGAATACATACAGTATAACAAACAGTTACGTCTCATTCGTTCAGTCAAAGATGACATGTACCAAATGCAAAGTATAATGAATGCTCTTCGTTCTACAAAGCAAGCATATCATTGGTTTGAAAACCAACAGACAAAAGAACTTTTAGAAGAATTTCCTCATATGATTGCTTCCCTCGGAAAACCGAGAGAAGAGATTCCGTACGAAAATCGCAAGAATTTGGCTCCTGGTTTGAAAGGATATTATGTTCATAGACTTTTAGTAAATGCTGTAGCAATGTGGGCTTCACCTCGTTATGCTTGTTATATTTTCATGATGTTAGATGAACTATATAAAGCAGAACGTGGAGAGATGGAAAAGAAACTTCATGCAAAAGATGAAGTCATTGAATCCAAAGACAAAAGCATACAGAAAAGAATACCACGTTCAGTACCAAAAGGAAAGGAAAAGAGTTATAAGTATATGATATATACTGAAGAGTTGGAGAAAGAAGAAGATAAAGATATGGTTATGTTGCATTTAGTCAGAAGAAACAACAAGAGCTTTTATGACTTAGCTAAAATATATAAATCTGACAGAAACTGGTTCTATCGTGAAAACTTACCGATTTCAATGACACCGAATGAAGATGTGAAACAAATAGTTCAAGATACGTTACCTCAAACACACTATGACATCAAAGGTTGCACAATACTTACATTCAAAGAAGACTTAACATTACTGAAAGAAAAGATAACAGAATATTTCGACAACTTCAAAGAGGAAGAATGAAAAAAAATC